AAGAGCTCAGGGACAGTGAACAGGCCCAGAGTTCAAGCCCACAACCAACAAAAAAAAAATGCTCAACCTTTTGTTTTTGAGATAGTCTCGCTGTGTAGCCTAGAACATGAAGTCCTCCTGCCTTAGTTGTGCACTACCATATCTATCTTCTCTTATATAATCCATTCCTATGTTATAAGTACTTCAGTAGGAAAGAAGAATGTAGTTCAGAAAAAACAAACTTTCTCTTCCCCCTAAAGCCTGATAATCACTACATACTGAAGCCCCAACTACAAAAGGATTACTGAAATAACTGCCAAAATGACAACCAACTATCTCCTTAAGACCATATAAAGTAGAGAAGTAAAATTTAAAAAGTGAGTTGCAAGCTACTTTTCAGACACAAATGTCATCAAAAATGCCCCTATTTGAAAAAACACGTGGCCTGTTTCGTTAAGTATTGGAACTGATGGATATGCAACCATGTGAATTGCTTTGTGAGACATGTAACATTTACTTACCTTATATATCCTCACCAGCCAATGTTCTGTGGTATATGCTTCTTCCAGGACATCAAGCTCAAAATCTTTATTCCCAATCTCAGCATTTCGAACACGATCAAAGCCTGGCGGACGCTCTAAAGAGAAAAAAAGAAAAAAGAACACTTTCCACAATGCTGATTTCCTAAAGGGACAGTAAAACAATGCAGTATACTGTCTACTGTTTGGATTATTATCTAGCATATAGTTTGATCAGAGTCTTACAAAAACAAGGGCTTCAGGTAGTAAGAACAAGTGTTACCCTAACTGAAGTTCTGTCCAAAATAATGCTTGGCAGAGTCCATGGAGCGTATCTCTTCTAAGAGATAAAACTGACAAGCCTCTAAGACTGTCATTCACAGGCCTCTGTAACACACTAGAAACCCTTCCATGGATCAGAGAAGAACTAATCAGAGAAAAAGCCAAAGTCCTGCATCTACTTCAGAAACCACGAAAGTGAAAGCCAGAGTGAAGATTTAACCTGATAAATCCCTTTCAATGTATTCATTTGAAGAAAGGAAGTCCTTTACCTCACTGTCTCTTTACTCCTTGCCTCACTACAACCTGTGATACTGAGACACAAAATAAAATAGTATTTTAAAGCACAGACCTGGAGCCAGACTGCCTGAGTTTGAATCCTGGCTCTACCACTGGTCATGTAAATGCTGGCCAGTTCAACACCCACTGATAACTCAATTCCTTCATATAAAAATAATAAGATACATTAATTCTAACTTATGAGTTGCTCTAAGTTAAATGAGTTAATAGAAGTAAAGCAGTTAAAGCAGTGCCTGGAAAACAGTGTTATTTGTCACAGTTGTTACTATGTTGTAAAAATTATAAAACACTCACTGGCTTCTGTGTAGACCTGACCAAAGCGGTAGTAACACATCTTATACATGAGGCAGTTGAGCAATACTGGAGACCCCTCTCGGTCCACACGGAATTCTCCAGTTGGAGTATAATAGTCATTCTCTTTGATATGTTTGCCTGTATCTGTGCTCCCTCCAATCCGGACCATCCAAAGAAACTTGTTGATATCTAGAGGAAAAAAGAAGAGACTGATGTATCAGAAAGGTTAATGGAGCTAAATTTCCCATATTTTTTCTAATTGGGAATGATACTACTTAATTGTATTAAAGGGAAAACAGTCTGAAGATCTTTCCTCAAAAAAAACTATTCTTAGGAATTACCAGACTCCTAGGTGGGTATGATGGGTATGCTTATAAAGTACTTCCAACTAAGCTGGGCGCTGGTGGCTCACGCCTGTAATCCTAGCTACTCAGGAGGCTAAGATCTGAGGATCACGGTTCAAAGCCAGCCCGGGCAGGAAAGACTGTGAGACTCCTATCTCCAATAAATCACCAGAAAACTGGAAGTGGCGCTGTAGCTCAAGTGGTAGAGTGCTCACCTTGAGCTGAAGAGCTGAAGGACAGTGCCCAGGCCCAGAGTTCAAGCCCCACGACCGACAAAAAAAAAGTATTTCCAACTACTCAGTAGGCAAAGCAGGAGGGTTGCAAGTTTGAGACTAGCCCAAAGGTAGTAGTGACATACAATTTTGAAAACACTATCTACATTTAACTAAAAGTTATAAATTACACTCATTAGGTGATAGAGGAAAAGGTAGAAATAACAAGCAAAACTCTTTATTTACCTAAGAAGTAGGTAAGCGTACATCTAAAATTGATGACCACTAAATAGCAAAATATACCAATCATTTTAAAATATGAGGGGTAGGAGCTGGGAAGGTGGCTCAGTGGTAGAGTGCCTGCCTTGCATGCCTGAGGCCCTGGGTTCGATTCCTCAGCACCACATAAGCAAAAAAGAAAAACATCCAGAAGTGGCGCTGTGACTCAAGTGGTAGAGCTAGCCTTGGGCTGAAGAGCTGAGGGACAGCACCCAGGCCTTGAGTTCAGGCCCCACGACCGGACCCAAAAAAAAAAAAATGAGGGGTAGTGGTACTGCTTAGAAGTAAAGCACTTGGAGACCCTTATGTCAAAGCCAGTACTACCAAAATAGAACCTAAGTATTAGAACCTAAACTGAAGGAATACTGCTAGAGTTTACTATAAACTGTAAAGGTACTTTACAGTTAGGAGAAGGAGATTACCATTTTTTACTATAAACCTTCAGAACTGTTGAACTTTTAAAAATATAAATAAGTATTGCTTTAATTTTGTACAAGCTATTTTTAAAGCAGTGAAATTCTATTTGGATGTCTTTTCTAAAATTACCTTTTTGCCAGTAATCACAGAGAACATGGTACCATATGCCTCTTTATACACTCAGTTGCCCTGTCACATCCAAGGAGGATTGGTTCCAAGACCCCCCTAGAGATACCAAAATCTACAGGTGCTCAAGTCCTTTTAAATAAAATGGAGCTATATTTGGATATAACATAATTTACATCTTTCTATATATTTTAAAACATCTTTAGATTACATATAATACAAGGTAAGTGCTATGGAAATAGTTTTTATAATGTATTACTTAGGTTATAATGACAAAAAAAAGTACATGTTTAATAGAAACAACTTTTTCCACAATATTTTCAATCCACAGTTGGTTGAATCCATAGATGCAAACTCATGGACAGAGAGAGAACTGTATGTATGTATGTACACATATGTATATACTACATACATTAACATGGCAGATTATATGGCCAGAATCCACTAAACACTGTTAATTCTTTTTTTGTCGGTCATGGGGCTTGAACTTTGGGCCTGAAAGCTGTCCCTCAGCTCTTCAGCTCAAGGTTAGTGCTTTGCCACTTGAGCCACAGAGCCACTTCTTGTTTACCGGTGTTTAATTGGAGATAACAGTCTCCTAAACTTTCCTGCCCAGGCTGGCTTTGAACCACGATCCTAAGATCTCAGCCTCCTGAGTAGCTAGAATTACAGGCGTGAGACACCAGCTGTTAATTCTTTAAACGCGTAATTCTTAAATTCACTTTTATAAGCCTACTCTACTACTTGTAGAACTACTACATTAGTAAGACAATCATTTATGTCAACCTATGTGAAAATTATTTACATTGTTTTCCTATTTAATGCAAAAAGAATCAATATATGAAAACCATACTTAGGAGCTTCCAAATAATAATAATAAATCTTGATAAGATTAAAGAAAAAAAAACAGAAAACTCATTTAGTTTGCTCACAATCTATGCACCCTAAAGCTAGAAATAAAACTAAATATATTACCATCAGAGGAATATCCAGTAAGACCTCCAAAAATGACTAGCACATAGCTGACATCAAGTTCCCTCATGATCTCGTAGGCTTTTTCTTCTGTGGATGCCATTGCCTAGAAAAATAAATAGACATTTCTCAAAGCACAATCTCAAATCCTATGTCCTCTCACGGAGGAGTATTTCCACTAGACTTTACATTATCAAATACTCTTAAGAATCCCTCCACCTTACCTGCCCTACTCGAGAAATATGGGTATTATTCCATGTATTATTGTCCACTAAAATTGTCCGATTTGCCATAGCTGTAATCTGGTAGCCATAATCCCACCATGACATGACTTTTGCATCCTGAAATAAAAATGAAAAAATGAACAACACTCTTCTAACTGCACCTAAAACTAACTGCAAGAGAAGTGGATGGGAATCTTTGATATCATAGGAAGTAAGGCCCAGATAATCAATTTATTCACAAAGTTAGAAAGTTATTCATACCTTACAAGCAAATAATTTCTTTTTAAAGTGGAGGAGCTAAATTTGATATTTTTGGACTTAGATCAGAACCAATTTTATCTGTATCTTCTTTTTCAATTTTCAAGTAGTTGTACAAGGGGTTTTAATTCAACATGTCAGTTTCTGAATAAAGAAAAAAACTGACAGCTAATCCACCATATAGATAGAAAATTGCAGCACAATTCATACACTTTATATACATAAGTATAATAAAGTGAAAACTGTGTAGACTATATATTTTATTAAATAATCTTTAACAAAAATCTTTGTCATGAAAATGGAAGAGGAAAAAAAATTCACAAATATGATGGACAACTATTAAGATATTCTAAGTTTGGGGCTAACCATAGTTCAGTTGTAGAGCACCTGCCTAGTAAGTGCAGTCTTGGGTTCAGTCCCTGCACTACAAAATTTAAAGGATTCTTACTTCTGATGTTAAACAAATCTGACTCCAAAATACTATTCTCAATACGTACTGTAAGGAATCACTTCAGAGCTTCAAAGAGAACAACATTAAGGAACTAGAGTGTGGCTCAAAAAAACAGAGCACCAGCCAGTGGTAAGCAAAAAGCTGAGCAAGAGCCTCTAATTTCAAAGTAAATAAATAAAACAAACTACAATATTAAAATAATGAAATATCTCTATGTAACTAAAAGCTTATTATAGAGCAAAACAAAACAAGTAGTCATCACACCTAGCAAGCACAAGACCTGGAGTTCAAACTCTAGTATCACCAAAAAAAAAAAAGTAATCATTAGGTAATAAATTAATGACTGCAAGCAACACTCTATGGCAGATAATCAAAACTATCTGACACAATTTGAGCTTGCTATAGTGAGAAAGTCTAACCTATTCCAGTGTTCTCTCCTCCATGAGACAAGCCATTATATAAACTTAAAACAATACAAAAAGAAAAAAATAATAAACTAATGAAAATATTTATGTATGTTCCCTTCTATTTTCTAATTTTCCTCTAAAAATATGTACTATTTATTATTTATTCTTTTTTTTTTTTTTTTTTTTTGGGTCCGGTCATGGGGCCTGAACTCTGGGCCTGGGCGCTGTCCCTCAGCTCTTCAGCTCAAGACTAGCACTCTACCACTTGAGCCACAGCGCCACTTCCGGCTTTTTTCTTTTTGCTTATGTGGTGCTGAGGAATCGAACCCAGGGCCTCAGGCATGCAAGGCAAGCGCTCTACCACTGAGCCATCTTCCCAGCCCCCTCATTTTATTGTTTTTGCCAGTCCTGGGGCTTGACCTCAGGGCCTGAGCTTACTGTCCCTGAGCTTATTTTGCTCAAAGCTACACTCTACCACTTGAGCAACAGCGCCATTTCTGGCCTTTATTGTTTATGTGGTACTGAGGAATATAACCCAGGGCTTCATGCATGCTAGACTAGCACTCTACCACTAAATCATATTCCCAGCCTATATACTATTTATTTGTAACTTTTTCTTCTTTTTTTTTTTGAGGGGGGGGCCGGTCATGGGGCCTGAATTGTGGGCCTGGGCGCTGTCCCTCAGCTCTTCAGCTCAAGGCTAGCATTCTACCACTTGAGCCACAGTGCCACTTCCGGCTTTTTTCTTTTTGCTTATGTGGTGCTGAGTAATCGAACCCAGGGCCTCAGGCATGCAAGGCAAGCGCTCTACCACTGAGCCACCTTCCCAGCCCAACTTTTTCTTCTTTTATAACTGAGATGGTTTCAGATGAAAACGATCATTACCAATGCAAATGTCTAAATACTTACTTCAGTAAGAATTGCTATTGAAGAAATCTCAAAATTGAAAGCTGGTTCTTTAAAGCTTATTCAAAACTAAGTGCCTAAAAACCAACTTCTCAGACTAAAGGTGCAGGTAGAATAGTAGTGTCTGCCTAGTGAATATTAAGGCACTGAGTTCAAAATCATAGTAACAAATTACATACACACACAGTACCACCAAATAATAAGAAAATAAAATTTCAATTTTCTTACCCATCTGAAAAACTACATGATTCACTAGCATATCAAATGCCTCTCCTTTCACTCCTACCCACAAACCCTCTACTCCCAAATTTCACCTCTGGAGTATTGTGACGAAGCCAGTAATACGCTTCTCGGAAGTCATCAAAAATGATCCTACTGCCATCCCCACCACGGGCAGACAGTACAATGGAGGGAGAAGAGTAGGCCTCACTGGTCACCCAGGTTGAATGGAAAGTGTAGGTGATGAGAAAGAAAGCCATGACCAGTATCATCCCACTTGCCACCTAAAAAAGGAAGAATTGTGCAGTAAACTACACTAAATTTATACAACATAGAAGAGTCGATAACACAAATTGAATGAAACACAGTCAGCCAGAGACTATATCAGTTAACACCAATAACCACCTATGACAGTGCTCTATTTTACAACTCCCACACTAAACATATATGCACACATGCTCACACATTCACACAGTTTCCAAAGCTTGTTAAGTGTTGCATAGTTCTCACTTCATTCTTAATGGGGTAAGTAGAATCCTGTTGCTTCTTGCTCTTCTTGTCTGGGCGACTTATGTCCAGATTCTTCATATATGTGGAAAGTACCTGGGAGACTCCAATGCCAGAAAGAATGCACATAACAGGTGCCAACACTAGCATTAAACGCACCTAAAAGAGACAATAATCATGATCACTGTTCGACAAATTACATATTTATCAATGGACTATGATGTCAAGTTAGTGTTTCAAATGTGATTTGTCTATGATGGTAGAAAATATTTAGTAAGGCTATAACAGCATATATCTCTTAAAGTCTGTTGTGATCTACATGTATACTTATGTACATGTGTCCAGAATAATGATACAAAGTATTATTTCTTGGCCATGTGTGGTGGCACATGCCTGTAATCTTAGCACATGGGAGGCTGAAGCAGAAAGATGGGAAAACTGAGCTAAATATATTTATATAGAGAGGCTGCCCTGGGGTATACAGTGATACTGTCTCAAAATAAAGTTTATTAATATATGTATATACATGTATGTGCACATGTACATATATATCATGTTTATATTTGTGGGAAGGAGTAATTGCTAGTAAGATAAAAAATTTTCATATGTAGTCCAAGCTAACCTTAAACTGGAGATCTCCTTACGTCTACCACCAAAGTGCTGGGATTATGGATTACAGGAGTATTCTAACCTACCTGACTATAATGTATTTCTTTTCTTTTGTTGGTCATGGAGCCTAAACTCTGGGCCTGGGTGCTGTCCCTTAGCAATTCATCTCAAGGCTAGCACTCTACCACTTTGAGCCACAGCTTTTTCTGCTGATGTAGTACTGAAGAAGCAAACCCAGGGCCTCATACATGCAAGGCAAGCATTCTACCACTGAGCCACCTTCCCAGTCCTATTTCTATGTGGCTTAGAATCAAAATAATATGAGAAAGACTATCTTGCTGCATTATATAAAGTCCCTCCTCGCTTAACAATCTAGCAATCTACTCCTAGGCCTTCAACAAAAATATTAAAAATCACCTCTTCCTCTGGGAGTACTGGCAAGAACTAGAAGTTGAACTCAAGAACCTAGTGCTTGCTAGGCAGGAAGTCATGTCACTGAAGCATGCCTTCAACCCCTTTTTTCTTAGGTTGACTTTAAGGTACCAGTGGCTCACACCTATAATCCTAGTTGCTCACAAGGCTGAGATTTTTTTTTTTTTTTTTTGGGGGGTCCAGTCGTGGGGCCTGAACTCTGGGCCTGAGCGCTGTCCCTCAGCTCTTCAGCTCAAGGCTAGCTAGCACTCTACCACTTGAGCCACAGCGCCACTTCCGGCTTTTTTCTTTTTGCTTATGTGGTGCTGAGGAATCGAATCCAGGGCCTCAGGCATGCAAGGCACGCACTCTACCACTGAGCCAACTTCCCAGCCCCAAGGCTGAGATTTTAAAATCACAGTACAAAGCCAGTTGGAAAAGACAAAATCGAGAGCCTCTTAGCTCCAATTAACCAACAAAAAGCCAGAGGCTGAGGCATAGCTCAAGTGATAAGAACACTAGCCATCATCAAAAATATCAAAAGCATAAGCCCTGACTTCAAGCCCCAGTATCAACACAGAAAACAGCAGCAAGCAGCTTTACAAATCTTAAGTACTCATGGGGAAATACCTATATAATCATCCTTCTGGGCAGAAACAAATAAAAAAGCACCTCAGAGTAAGGGGTGGAAAGTTTTGCTAGGTCTGAGAACATTCCTCACCATTACAGCTGAAAAGTACATGCTGGTCACACCGTACATGATGATAAAAATCCGGGCATCAGACAAGTTGCTAAAGCAGTAATAGAGGCCAACTACAAAAGAGGAAAGGAGAAGTAAGCAGCAAAGCCCAGTAGACCCTTGTAACCTCAAAGGAGCCTCTTCTTTGTATGACTGGATGACTTCACATATTTAACTCAACAATTCCACATCAGGAAATTTATCCTAAAACAACAATCAAAGCAATGTGCAAAAATGCTTACTGCAGTGTTCTTTATACTAATAAAAAAAAATAGAACCAACCTAAATGTCCAGCAAAGGAGCTCATTAATTGTAACATGTTTTCAATTTAATGTATTAACTAAAATACTGCTGCATGAGGTTACAAACTACTTGCATTCTTTATACATGTCTACAGCAAAGAAAGACTGACTAATCTATCTTAAATATTTCTATAAAATATTAAATAACAGATTTTTCTTTTCTTTTTTTTTGGTTGGTCATGGGCCTGGGTGCTGTCCCTCAGTTCTTCAGCTCAAGGCTAGCGCTCTACCACTTGAGCCATAGCGCCACTTCTGGTTTTCTGGTGGTTTACTGGAGATCAGAGTCTCACAGACTCTCCTGCCCAGGCTGGCTTTGAACTGTGATCCTCAGATCTCAGCCCCTTACGTAGCTAGTATTACAAGTGTGAGCCATGGACACCCAGCTTGTTCTCTCTTTTTTTTTTTTTAACAGTGCTGAGGAATGAACTCAGCCATAAGGCATGCTAGTCCAGCACTCTTACCATCAAGCTACAATCCCAGCCCTACTAAAATTCTTTTTTTTTTTTTTTGGTCAGTCCTGGGGCTTGAACTCAGGGCCTGGGCGCTGTCCCTGAGGTTCTTTTGCTCAAGACTAGCATCTTACCACTTGAGCCACAGTGCCACTTCCAACTTTTTCTCAGTATGAGTAATTTTTTTCTGTGGTACTAAGGAATCAAACTCAGGGCTTCATGTATGCTACGTGAGCATTCCACCACTAAGCCACATCATCCACTTACTTGTTTTACATGATTCAGGCATATACTTTTTTCCCCTGTGTGTAAAGAATTGTAATAAGGGGTTCGGAATGTGGCTTAGAGGTAGAGTGCCTGCCTAGCATGCATGAAGTCCTGGGTTCAATTCCTCAGTACCACATAAACAGAAAAAGCCAGAAGTAGTATTGTGGCTCAAGTGGTAGAGCAGTAGCCTTGAGCAAAACAAGCTCAGGGACAGTGCCCAGGCTCTGAGTTCACACCGCACGACTGAGGGGGAAAAGAAAGTTAACAACGGCTAAAGATAGGTGGTGAAAATTTCTGTACCTTTTATCTTTTTCATTTTACTGAGCTTTTGTTATTTTCATAATATGCATATTACTTTCACAATAAAAATAAATCTACAGCGGGGCACCGGTGGCTCATGCCTGTACTCAAGAGGCTGAGATCTGAGGATCACAGTTCAAGCTAGCCAAGGCAGGAAAGTCCATGAGACTCTCATCTCCAATAAACCAGTCAGAAAATCAGAAGTGGCACTGTCGTGGCACTCAAGTGGTAGAGTGCTAGCCTTGAGCTGAAGAGTGAGGAACAGCACTCAAAATCCAAAACAAAATAATAAAATAAATCTACAAGTTATAAAAGAAAAATGTCGCTTACACTGGTAAATTCTAGGGTATTAACTAGA